ATGTTTGCCAGGTACTCACTGTGTCCTTGCTGGTATGTTTTCCAGTACTCACTGTGTCCTTGCTGTTATGTTTGTCATTTACTCACTGTGTCCTTGCTGGTATGTTTTCCAGTACTCACTGTGTCCTTGCTGTTATGTTTGTCATTTACTCACTGTGTCCTTGCTGGTATGTTTTCCAGTACTCACTGTGTCCTCGCTGGTATGTTTGCCAGTACTCACTGTGATCTTATTGGTATGTTTATCAGTGCTCATTGTGTCCTTGCTGGTATGTTTGCCAGTACTCACTGTGTCCTTGCTGGTATGTTTGCCAGGTACTCACTGTGTCCTTGATGGTATGTTTGCTAGTAGTCACTGTGTCCTTGCTGGTATGTTTGCCATTTACTCACTGTTTCCTTGCTGTTATGTTTGTCATTTACTAACTGTGTTCTTACTGGTATGTTTGCCAGTACTCACTGTGTCCTTGCTGGAATGTTTGCAGGCTTTTCACAGAGTCAAACCAGTTCCACCATTACAGCAGAAAAGACCATCATCAAGATACTCAAAGGAATTAACTCTAGGTCACTAAGGTCAGTACTTACTGCTGCAGTGCCTCTTTCTGCATCCAGGAGTCTCAGGCAAATACACATCTGAAACCCTTGAGGAAGTAGTCCAAATCATCTTTAACTTGGTTTTAAAGGATGATGAGTTCATTAGTTATCTCATTATATTCTTCTGCTGATGTTAGTGAAGTGAAATACTCACAATCATCCAAGTACAGCAAGAGCTGGATAATAGTATAAAACATGTTCTGAGGTTGAAGAATGTTGCATTGCCAGAACAAACTTTTATGCTTTAGCACAGTAACGCGTAATTCGTCAAATGACCGCTGGTCTTACCTTACTCTTCTGGAGGTCTCATGACTTGAACTATGCTGTATCTTATGTGGTTAACTTAATCATTTGCAGCGCCATCTTTTTTTTAAAATTATTATACAGAGGCTGAGTATGTTAAATCAGAAAGTCACGTGACAGACACAACCAATGCTATGGAAGACATGTACTACAAGCACACTCTGACATTCATTTTATGTTGGAAGTGCGATGCAACCTAAAATGTAATCACTTTTGTAAAAGTCCTTTCCGACGCAAAATATTTTCACAATCAGATCATAAAAACGTGTTCAGAAGGGCCATTTAGAATTCCGAAGATGGGAATGACACTGGAAAACAAAGGAATTTGGATCAAGTTGGCGCACCAGGATCATCCAGAAAGAGACCTGCAACAAGTCGTACCCCAACTGTGGTAAAGTGCAGCGTCTTGTAAGAAGTGAGAATTAACGAACACGAAGATCAATGGCAAAAGCTTTCCACGTGCTCCAGGCAACAGTCGATAATATAATTAAGAAGGATCTTTTTCTGGTAAAACAAACACAATTCATGTGTGTACAAGTTTCTTCAACAACATCTACCTTCAACCGCTGCATACCCCCAAACAGGTAGAGAATAAAATGAGTATTCATGCTATTCCTTATGAAAACATCCGGCCAAGTGATGTCAGACTGTTGAAACAAGCATTGGTTTGTTTGTGTGTTTTTTTTTTTGTAATTACGCACAAAGTTACACAATAGGCTATCTATGTTCTGCCCATCAATGGGGATCGAAACCCGGTTTCTAGTGTTGTAAGTCCGAAGACATACCGCTTTGCCACTAAAGGGGGGAGGGACAAACGCTGGTAGTCTATGGAAAGTATTCAAGGAGGAGTGACGTGTTTTGGATATGAAAGTCTTACGGACGGAGCATTTTGCAATGGAAATAACTCTGCATAACTGTTGTCAAGTCGCGTGGTCGTCAGATAGAGCATGACCAGGAGTTGCGACATTGATAGTAACGATATGTTGAGGCCCCATACTTGTTTTAATATAACACAGTCAACCTCTGTATGTCTGATGAGCAAGATTATTCGGGTTTTATTTCACTCAACACATTCTTTCCTACCCCCCTGGTGTCGGTTTCCAAAGAACATTCGTTTTTTAAGCACGTCCTTCTCTACACGACACTCAGATTTCTACAGCTATGTCTATCCTCACGTATCACCAGCGGAGCATTATTATGTAGAGCAGGTTATATAACTGGAACAAAGCTTCTAGTTCTTTCTTTCTGTCTGTCTGTCAAAATCTATTAAGTCTCCGAATCCTCGCTTCAGTTGAGCCTCTTTCTGCTCGAGAGAACATTAGACTTGTTGGTTTGTAATTACATACGTTACGTTCAGGACAGACATCGCTATGTTAACTTCCTCCCCAGGTGTTTTTGAAACATAATTTCAGTTATCTAGTATATAATATTCCTTAAATTAAGAAATTCTTTCTGTAGCTTCATTAAAACAACCAGATAATATGAGCTAATATACCCATATTTCTTTCTGAACAAAAACAGTGAACAAAAATAACCAGGTACAATAAGCTGAAATACTTTTGTTTTCTCTGAACAAAAACAGATAGAATAAAAATAACCAGGTAATATAAACTAGAATGTTTTTTTTATCTGAACAAAAACATTGTGAATAAAAATAACCAGGTAATATAAACTAAATTACCCTTATTTTCTCTTTACAAAAACAGATGGAATAAAAATAACCAGGTAATATAAACTATAATGTTTTTTTTTTATCTGAACAAAAACATTGTGAATAAAAATAACCAGGTAATATAAACTAGAGTACTACAACAACCCACCTCTCTGTTCAACACATTTTCTGATTCAAATAAGTTTTAATAAAAGTGAATTAAACGAATTCTTGGCCGATAATTCAACCAAGTAAGTAACGTAATTTCAAACACTGACAGGTATTTAATCCAGTTTGCACAGGTTTTTATATAATTTTTTTTGTAAATTTGGTGAAAACTTTAACGAGTTCGAAGGTCAGATGTTGGGGTCGTTGAAAGAAATTCTTAATTTTATTACAATTTTACTTCTTAAGATAGAATTGTTGTTGATAAGCGCAGAGCTACACAATGGGCTATCCGTGCCCTGCCTACCACGGGTATCGAAACCCGGTTTCCAGGGTTGTGAGTCCGAAGACATCCTGCTCTGCCACCGGGGGGTGTTGTAAAGTATTGTTTGTTTGTTTGAAGCTAAGTACAAAGCTACACAAAGGGCTATCCGTGCCCTGCCTACCAAGGTATCGAAACCCGGTTTCTAGCTGTATAAGTCCGCAGAAATACCGATGTGCCACTGTGGGGTAAGAACTGGGAGGTGTCTCAAAATATGTGATACTCTGTTCGTTACTCTACGAAATCTATTTTGTTCACACGTTGCTCATTGTACTATATATCTGAGAATAACCCACCCGAAAAAGATATTTTCCTATCTGAAGAGTGTGTGACCAAAGAAATTCAGTTCTAGGCGATTCCTTAAAACGGGGATGATTTCTATAAGACAAATGACATGTGAACAATACAAAATTAAACTCTTAGCCGAAAAATTAAAACTCGAGCTATAATCTGTCTTCCCAGCAGATGAGACAGTGGGCACCAACTAGTGGAATTCATGAGGCTGTTGAGAGTTTTCCTGCCAAGGTAACCATAGATTGGAAAGAAACTTGGAGTCATGCAAAGTTATTAAAGAGCCTTCAGGAGCAACTCGTCACTCTGCGACTCTGTACCAGGAATTGACTACTCCTGTAGACCAATAACAGGGATTGACTACTCCTGTAGACCAATAACAGGGACTGACTACTCCTGTAGACCAATAACAGGGACTGACTACACCTCTAGACCAATAACAGGTACTGTCTATATCTCTAGACCAATAACAGGGATTGACTACCCCTGTAGACCAATAACAGGGACTGACTACTCCTGTAGACCAATAACAGGGACTGACTACACCACTAGACCAATAACAGGGACTGACTACACCACTAGACCAATAACAGGGACTGACTACACCTCTAGACCAATAACAGGGACTGACTACTACTGTACACCAATAACAGGGACTGACTACACCTCTAGACCAATAACAGTGACTGACTACTTCTGTAGACCAATAACAGGGACTGACTACTCCTGTAGACCAAAAACAGGGACTGACTACACCACTAGACCAATAACAGGGACTGACTACACCTCTAGACCAATAACAGCCATGGATATTGATGGTCCACTTCCAGTAACTGAATGAAGTCATAACTACAAACTTAGCCGAAAAATTAAAACCCGAGCCATAAATATATTTGATATACTTAATGCTCAAACGTTTAACAAACTTATATGAAGAGAAATTATGATCTTTTCTATACTTAGAATTACAGTTGTATAGAAAGATTAAACCTATCAGACATTGAATAAGGAACAAATTATCTTATTTAAAAGAAAGAAACAACCATAAAAACTATGCATTTGTTCTCAAGACTTAAACAGAACTTGGAAAACATTCATCTAATGGGGTTTATTTTGAATTTCGCGCAAAGCTACACGAGGGCTATCTGCGTTAG